GTGCTGACCCTGTCCTTCCTTCTGAAGGGTGGCTACTTTTGTGCCCCATGGTCCCTGTGTGTGCTGTAAGGTAGACAGCGCTCCAAGCTTGCTCCTGTAATAGACTATAAGGCCTGGTTCACACCTGGGCGTTTTACAGCGCGTTCCTACGCTCTGTTAAACGCTCAACATGTGAAAACCAATGATTGCCTATGGGCATGGTTCCCACCTGGGCGTTTTACACCACGTATCCATTGGGATACAGCCAGGTAACCCTCGGAAACGCGTGTTTGGCACATTTTTTTTACCGCGAATCGCGGTAAAAACGCGCGGCACAGACTCCTCAATCTCTTTTTCTGCATCCCATGTTATAAATGAACAGGAATCCTCTATACTGAGTGTTCCTGTTCATTCATACATTGTGAATATAGTATGAGTTACTATGTACACAATCATGAATGAATAGGAAGTGATGTAGATCACTTCCTATTCATTCATGATCTGGTACATAGTAACTTATACTATGTCCAGTTATTTACAAATTGTTTGTACCCGCTCTCCAACCTGACTCGCTGTCACAGGAGGATGAGCTAGCGGTGCAGGGAGGAGAGCTCGGTCTCATTTGACAGCTGACTCCTCCCCTCAATGCCGACTCAGGCTCCTGTGACAACGCATGGCTGTCTCTGCCCTCCTACCCCGCTCTCCATCTTGATCGGTTAGAGGAGGCTGAGGGGTGTGGTGCGGGAGGAGAGCACGGCCTCCTGTGACATTACGGCTCAAGGCGCTCTCCTTCCCTGCACCGCTCAGCCTCCTCTGGCAGTTTCTCTTCTCCCCGCTGGTTGCTGCGCTGTGTCAGAAGGGATACAGAGCAGCGCACAGCAGGGAGAGGTACTAGGCATGCACCACAATTTCAGCCGAAATATGGCACTTTCTGCATTTTGTTGCATACATTTTCAACTATATGAAAAGTCACATTGTGCCATCAGAGTTCCCAACCTGGGACATAGAGATAGATTGAGATATTGAGATATATAGATTATATATATATATATATATAATCATATAATGCATATAGCAATGAATAAAATCAGGCGCAGGCATACCTTTAGTTATAACCTGACCTAATGGGTTGCCAGTCTTTGCTTTGTTGGATTTGATTCAGGCACACACTGTTGTCTTCAGCTGCCTGGGCAACATGTGTTTATGTACCTTCAAGGATGGGGCTACATCCAAGATAAGTCTCCTCTGGATGTATTCATTTCTATATACTTGTCAGAAGTTAGGAGCTTAGTTTAGACACTGTGTAAACATTCTCTTATGTGGCAATATACCTTCAGATATATTTGTAAATGCATGCAACAAAAACCCATTTTATCCTAAACGTTGAAACGGTTTAATTAGATATGTTGGGGCCCATGAGCTGGATAGTGCTCTAGGAATTTGTTTTTGTATTGTCCTGGCCGTGTGTACCTTTCCTGTGCTAGTAATCAATCAATGTAAATGGCTGGCATATACATATCTATTTTTACAGCCTAGAAACTGTATTTACTACAATATGAATTCCCTTAGAAAAACTCCTACTTCCTAGATGCAGCATTGCCAACTGAATATAAACCTGTATCAATGCACCTTTGAAATGCATCAGACTCAAGTCTGAGCCAGTCAAAACAAGCGCTACTGCTGTGGTTTACTGCAAACTTTGTTACTGGCCAACAATCTACCTTTATATTAAATATACCTTGGTTTAAGTGATATTGGTAGGTAGGGTTATTGATCAAAGGTCATTGGGCAATGTACATGAAAAGCAAAAGGCAGTGAATTACCCAGGCAGCATTTTAAAAAAACCAAGCTTGGCAGGTGAATTTAGGACTTCATTGTTAGAAAGTTTCTCTAGTGCGTTAGAGCCACAGGGCCTATGGTTAACAGGCACATACTAATTCACATTTGTACTTGAGTTACCAAGCCAGTAATGCCAAAGATTCACAACCTAACAGATGGAAAGATATTCCTTCATAGCAGTGATTCCTTTTAGGTTTCCCAAGGCTTCATCCAACTGGCAGAGATAATAACTGGGCTCACATTTTGGACAGGATCAGATAAAAGTAAAACGTTATACAAGATATGGCTTAACCTATTACCCATTCTATATAAAATTTTACAGTAAACATATGATACAACATGAATTTAAAATGTGAACAAAAACTATATTGGCATAAAAAAAGCCTCTTTGGCCTCACTAAGCTGGATGGTAGCCATCACGGGAGAGGCCAGCCACACCATTTGAGAACCATTGCTCCATAATGCATGCCACTGTGGCTGTGCGTTATCCATGAAGATAATTGCCATTTGTACTGATGTTACTCAAAACAGGACAATGCAAATGTATGAGTACTGGACCTTACACGTCCACAAAACTCTGTCAAAGTGAGCTACTATGATTAAAAGCTAAAAACAAATGTACAACTATATGCAGGTCATCCAGACAGCAATGAAAATTAGAAATTTGAGCTTAAGATATTACAACTACAGAACTGTTCCTTTACAGTCGCTTTTTTACTAATTAGGCAACAAAAGCAGATTTAGTGGGGTGAGCAGGCGGTGAACCTGGAGGTAGAATGCAGAAAGAAGTCTGGCAGGACTGATAGGGAAAGAGTATAATGAATATAGAAATAGAGAAGAAATTAGCTGGTAAAGAAAGCAGACCATGAAAGTAGAGAATGGCCGGGTACGGAGGGGGGAGGTCAGACATGTAGACAGAGTGGGGACAGGACCCACAGGGACAAGTGAGCATTGAGTGAAGAAAATGGATTGACTCCAGGGGGAGAGAGCAGCTAGGGGCATCCATTGCAGAAAAGTGTGTGCAGTTTCGAAAAAGACAGCGGCACAAGATTAGTGTGTCAGCATTTGGATGTAAAAGCAGCAATGCAGGAGAGCAGTAGCAGGCAGGCGTGTCCATCAAGTGCTAGAAATTCAACATGGCCCTGTGTCTATCTTTCAGATGTTTCACTTTTTAACACATGCTTCTTTGGCCTGAAATCCACACTGGAAGAAGAATTCACCACAGTAAGACCAGACGTCGCTGGGGCTAGCGCTACATGTTGATTAAATCTCGACTGTTGAGAGAATAGAACTAAAGCCAAAGCCTTTTCCTAGATTTGGATATAGTAAAAGGAGGGTTATAACCCGTCAGCGTTTCTGCCATGTGTCTGTTTGGGGGGATTTTCCTATCAGACAGCCAGGACAAAACATGAGAGGAAATCTTTCCAAAGTGAGGGAAATCCCTTGTGACTCAGGTGACAATCTTTAATATTCCTTTTCGCTTCTCCCCTGGCAGCTACATACAAGGTTATGAAGGGAGATGAGAAGGAGCTTGGACAGCACAGAGAGTAATTAGGACACTCCCAGGTTGGTGATGCTCTTTAAGCCCAATAAAAGATGGACAGCTTACTACACACCTGCAATATATGCTTACATACAGCTTGTTCTATTTTACTATTGGCTACATGCAATTTATTTGCAAGACGTTTTCAGAAACAGCTGAACTCTTATTAACATCCAGATATCACCAACAGTGCAACCGGGTGGCAATTTTTAATCATGAAGAAACCACAAAAATAAACTGTCTTTCTATGATAACCACATGCAAAAAAACATGGGTGGTCACAATGGTGTATAGAAAAAGAATGTAAAAGGTAAACTCCTACCTCTGGTCAAATTTGCATTCAGAAAAATATTTATAGATGCTAATGCCATATAGTTAGCTAAAGAAAGCTAAAAAAATTGGCAAATGTGCTTGTATTGCAGAGATGCATGGAATAATTTTTTTCCCTTTGCCCAGACATTCACTATAATCCAAGCTCTCACTAATAGTAGACAAGAAAAGGTGCCAGAGAATTCCTTGATGTATACCCCTACCGACAGTCCTAGGCAAATACAGACTTTCAGAAGGTTGGTACTTAGATAGGGTTAGCCCCCAACTCCCTACCTACCTGACAGTATATGCTTAATTACGCTCATCACAGTATTCGAAGCAAAGTGAGGACCAGAAACAAATGTGAAAATGTGTGCAAAACAGGTGATTCTAGCAGATTGGTTGCCAAAGGATGCCTGCCTACAGGGTTCAGTGATAGAAATCCAGCCCATCTGTTGAGTCATATAGGCCAGTGGTTCCCAACCCCCAGCCCCGCGGACCGGTACCGGTCCGTGGATCAAATGGTACTGGGCCGCCCAAGGAACATTAAATTATTTCCATTTTATTTACTGTGGTGTATTTCTCTCGGGTTTGTCCGACTTTCCAGGACGAGAGGTTAACCGGGAGCTGAGAGACATCACCTAAAGCCGCACCAATACCGCACATGCGCAAAATATCGTGATATCGGGGCGGTTTTAGGTGATGTCTGGAGCTGAGCGGCTGCAAGCGGCAGTGGCGTTGTAGCTTTGGTAAAGAGAAGGTGTGTATCGCTCTTCTCTCTGTTCACCGGTACTTTCTCATGTTTAACAGTGCTTGGTGTACGTGTATATTGTGTTTGCTCAAATTTAACCCACAAATTAGCAACAAGGAGTACGAAACAGACGTCGTTAGAAAGTTTCCTTGGGAAAAAGAAAAGGCCCAGTGAAGAGACAGAAGAAGGGCCTTCAACATCAAAGAAACATGTAACTTTTAACAGACAATACCATGAGTCCTACTTGAAATATGGTTTAATCGGGACAGTTGATTCCAATCTAAAATATAAACAATCAACGTCCCCCCCTCAGCGGGCCGCGGCAAAATGATCAAACGTTGACCGGTCCGCGGCGATAAAAAGGTTGGGGAGCACTGATATAGGCAACACTCTAAAACCCTTATATCAGGAACACTCTTAACATCCTTTTTTTATCCTATTATACTTTTACATTTTATTTCATGGAATTTCTACAAGATTTATCAAAAATACATTTGCTGTTGAGATAAACCATTTGCAGCAGCAACGCACTGTGCTTTTTTATTATTATCTTTAATAATGTTACCGAGAAGGCTGGAGTGAAAAAAAACGTTTTACTTAAAATAAGATTTTAACTTCCACCAAGAGATTTTCAAAGCAGAATCTGAATAGATGAATACTTTGTTAAATCACACATTCTCCAAAGTCAGTATTACTTTTAACAGTCAAAAGACAGTCTCTTGAATCAAGTGCGGTCATTTTGGCTTCTGAGCTGTACAAACTCAGAATTATACAGCAGAAGAATACTCAATTCCTCAGCTTCGGATACACCAAACTGTACCGACAGTCAAACCGTAGACCCAAATCCAGTTTCTGTAAACCCGCATCAAGTCTTAAGGTATAGTGTATAATCTTGTATCAGATTTTCTCTCTTTTTTTATTCGGATATTTTTGAAGCTAACTTTTCAACAAGTGCATTGTGGTCCACCCCGATGCTTGCTAGCAATCCTCCTTCATTCCCATCGTGTCCAGTATAAATTATGTTTTCTCCTTTAAGATTAGTCATCTGACCGCCAAGTGCATTGAGTATAGCATTTCCGGCACAAATGTCCCACTTCTTGATATAGGTGACATGAATATACACGTCAGCTGTTTCTTGTTTTTCATTTCCAGTCACATCAAGCAAAGAGAGAACTTTATAGCCTTGAAGAGAAGAAGGGAGATCAGTTATTCTCTGATAACATCACTAAAAGGACATAAAGACCGTTACCAATGATTGGTGGGAAAGTACAAACTTTCAAGATGACACAAAGTCCTAAACAACAAATGAAACTTTGTTTTGTTGGTATAAAACTTCTTTACCTTGTGTCTTAGTTGCTCAGGCTACTTTTTCAGGTTTGGTGCATCACAACTATAAAAGGGACATTTCAAAGGCTTTAAAAGTAAAAGTGGACGTTTATGTTTGGTTTTCTAATTGATCACTTCCAAATGTTTTTCATATATACATATTTTTGTAAGGTTTAGACTATAATTCTTGTCTGTATATAAAACTATGACTACGAATTAAAAACTCTGTAGTTGTGGATGTTGCTGAGGTCCATTGTTCTGAGGCCTGTGTGTGAGACTAATTTGTGGCACAGCAATTACAAGATATTTTTGCGTGTATAAAGACTGGGGCTTATGAGTGCAATGTATACAGCGAGTAGACTGGGACGCCAACCATTTCCCTTTAAACCATTCCCACCATTAGACATAATCTGGCCACCCCCACCATTTGCAGCAACACACATACATACATATATTTTAGGGCTGCAGCAAATAGACAATAATCAATTATGAGAGAGAGTTTTTTTTAATACAACCAAAAGATTAGTTGAAAAAATATGTGTTAGCTGCAGCCCTAATATATTTAACTTGATTCTGGCCAGAACGCACTGCCTAGCATTGCGTCCAGCTCACTTTTTTGTGGGGCAGCAGGGAGTGTGGTGGGCCATTAAAGTGAATGGCACCGTAGCCACGCCCTCTGGCCACAATGCAAACGGCCGCACGGGATCGCAGGGCACATTATGCCTGTGGTCAAAATGCTGCAAGTACTATTTTGCTCGCACCGGACCGCAGGCATAATGTGCCTTACGATCCCGTGCGGCTGATCGCATTGCAGCCGGAGGGCGTGGCTACGGTGCCATTCACTTCAATGGCCCACCACACCCCCTCCTGCCCCACAAAAAAGTGAGCCGGCCGCAATGCGAGGCAGTGCGTTCTGGCCAGAATCGGGCCGGAACGCACTGCATCTGGTGTGACTGAGCCCTAAAGCCATTTCGTCCCGGTCCTCTTCAGTTCAAACCTGCTGAACTAAATGGTGTTCTTGTAATAGAACACAGAATAGTTGAAACTTTCAAGTTCAGCTATTCCGTGTTCTGGAATGGCGAGTAGTCCCTCAGCCGTCCGACACTGTCCACCTGGCCGGTGTCAGTTTACACGGCCGGAGGAAGCAGCAAGGGGAGACCGAGAAAAAAAAAACATTAAATCACTCACCTTGTCACAGACGTGCTGGTCTCCGCCTCTCTCTGTACTGTACTGTGAAGCTGCTGCACGCTGGGTCCTCACGCCTGAGGCCCCCAGGGCTGCCCTGTTATTGCCTGTCAGGCATTTATGCAGGTAAATCTTTAATACGCCCGCTTGTCACTGCCCGGCGGCTGGCACCGACCGCTCCCCCCCCCCCCCCCCCCCCCGGGGGGGACCCAGCGGCGCCCCGCGCCTG